GGACTATTTCTAAAAATCGTAACAACTAGCCCCGGTCTCCCCTAATTACTTAAGTTTTCAATGAACTTTGACTTAAAGGTTAAATTTCAATAACAGTCTCAAAACTTATTTTACAATAGATAAAACATGTTGATATGTTATCAGTTTACTTCAACCTGAAAGAGAGATATGCCCATGGCAAATTCATTAGAATATTCTTCAATCAGCCCATATGGGGGTCCCTAAATTCAACATGAAGCTCAGTTTATGATCAAGAAAATATAAATAGATGAAAACAATCAATTTGTAAATAAATTAAAACTCAGCTTAGTTTCCATATTATAATTTTACCTGCAAATTTCGGGTATTATTTTAATTTTCGCTACTCTACCAGACCTAGTACTATACAAATTCTGTAAGGCAGTTGGAATTTGTGTGTGGTATTTTGAATCTCATACAACTGTAACAACTTAATCTTAAGGAAAATCATGAAAACAACTGGAGTTCTTATGCAAAGTGAAAACTAGAAAACTAACAGATGATTATCATAGTACATGTGGTGAGACAATAATTAGTGTCTACAAGTAAAAGTAAGCAGTAAACTAAACTTATATTTGAATGTGTATTTATATGTGTATGGACGAATCTCTTCTGTATTTTGTACACAATTAATTTGATATTCTAATTCACTAAGCTGTACAAAAGACAATCTTAGTATTAGTGATCCTTACAATATTTTAATTTTACTCTTGAGTGCATTTTAACCTTCTAAATACAGCTCAGTGTTACAAAAAAAAACATTGATTTAGTCTAGCTATGACATTTTGCTTTGACAACACATTATTCTCACATGAAAATCATTTCTCTTTTATCTTATTGCCCTGAATTATCACCAGTCTTAACTACCTTTTTCATTTTTAGCTGTAAAACTGAGCTCAGAATTCTACCATTTCATGCTGCATGCTTAGTGATTTATGTTAATTAACTGAATCCAATATGTTTAACACATTGCAACTGGCTAAACAAATTGTGTTTCAAATACCAGGTGTGCATTCTCCATCCCAGAGCTCCTTGTGCATAGCTTGCATGTATAATTTTGTAATCATGTCTGCGTGGAGAGCGACGAGGCATGGTTACTTCAGCCAAACCTAAACTTCCTGTTCTCAGTTACTGATCTGATACAAGTAATCCACTATTAATAGAATTATATTGATGTCATATATAATTGTCTTATGGCATACATTGGAGACGTATGAATTTACAAAAATAATGTGCGATAACATTCCAAAATAAGATTAGTAGGTGGTTGTCACCATAATAATCAACAATATACATCAGTTTCTTGTTTTTAGAGAACTGTATTTTATGTTTATTTCCTGTTAATTCCTTTTTCTTTTCCAAAATTATTGTAATTTGAATAAGTCATCTGATATTTTTTCATCCTCTACCACTTCTCATTATGTTGATTATTGTGAAAACGAGGTAGTTTGTTGTTGGGTTGATGGGATGTGGCTGGAGGCATTCTTTAACCACAATTCTCAATAACGTGACAATCCCGGTGTCTTACCATTCCCAATTTAATGTCCTCAGTCTTATGTCAGGGTAGGACTTCTTGACAGATTCATGACTGTTTCATACTCACTACTGGACTATTTTCAATTTACTTATTTGAAATGGACATTTCAAAAATAAAAACAGAACTAAGAGATAATAGACGAAAGGCCATAGTTCTTGCTTAAGTTTGACAAAATGAAACTTGTTAATGTTACTTATGAAGTGTTCAGATAGGAAATATTAAATTGAAATTGCTTAGTTTTATGTTCATTGATGTTGTTGTTTCATAAAGCAAGAGTGAAACAAAACAAGATGTGAATCAACTAAGTTTTTATGATTTCAGCTATCACAAACACTGGCACAGGTGGAAAAACTTTAATCAAACTTGTACACCATGCTTCTTCCAGCATCAAGCTAAACTATAATTTTTTGTATTGATAAATATGACCCTTAAAGAAAACCTTTATTTCATGAATTAAATTTGAATTCAAATAATATTTACACCTGAATGGACATTACAATGATGTGTTATCTCAAAGTACTGTGGTTCTAAACCTTTCTCTTGCCTATTCTTTCAAGTCACTTTGAGTTGTATCTCTTAAAGTCTTGTACTTGAGCTTTCATGAGATATGAGAATTTTCACTTCAATGGTAGGGTATAT